CCCGGCCCCGGCCACCGAAATCGGCCGCTCACTTCACCTCAGCTTTATATCCGCTAGGACCCCTACAGAAGCAAGCTCTGATTGGGGAACTGCGTTTCCCAGACAGCCCCAGATGCAACCAAAAAACTGCGATGCCCAGGGTTGCGTTTGGACAATCATTTCAAGACAAAGCCAGCCTTGGCCACGATGAGCGCATCGGAGGCGGAAAGGAGGGTCGTCCGGTTGCAGACCAGACCGGGCCGCAACCAGGCCCGGGGGCCCGGGGGCCCGGGGGCCCAGGGGCCACGACCTCTACCACAAATGTGTGGCCCGGGGGCCCGGCCAGACCTTGAGGGGCCCAAAATCGCATCGGAGGGCGGTTCGATGAGCGTCACGGCGGCCCCAGCCAGCCGCCCACCACCCTGAAGACGGCTTTGACGGATCGGATCACGGGACGTTTCCATCGGCCCCAGAGGCTTCGAAGACGCCTCGTAACCCGTGCAATTTGCCCCACGAGGGCCCCGAGAAGCAAAAATATATCCATTCCTTCCGTAAAACGTATATGTTTACCGTGCTCATGATTTTCGTCTTCGCGCCATCCTTGCCGACCTCAGGGGTCCCTAAGATTGCCCCTACACGGCCCAAGAGGCCCCCCAGAGGGCGCCAAGACGGCCCAAGAGGGTCCCAGGCCGGTCCCAGAGGCACCCAAAACGGCCCCAACAGCTTCCCAGAGGGCTCCTAGAGGAGCACAAGATAGGGCAATCCAACTGGAATTGTCAGCCCCACGCCCCAAGAGGGCGCCCGAGACCCCCACGAGGCCCCAAGCAGCCAACACGAGGCCTCCAAGACGCCTCATAACCCGTGCAATTTGACCTCCCAGAGGGCCCCGAGAGGCAAAATTGGCCCCGTTCTTTTCGGAAAACGTACATGTCAACCGCATTCGTGTTTTTCGTCTTCGCACCGAGCTTGTCCCCAAGAGGCCCCCAAGCAGACCCCAAGGGGCTTCCGATGTATGTATCTATGTATGCATGTCTGTATGTATGTATGGATGGATGGGTGGATGAACGGATGGATGGATGGATGGATGGATGGATACGGATGGGGATGGATATGTATATGTATATGCAGATGTATATGTATGTGTATACGTGTATTTGTATGTCTATGCATACGTATATGCAAATGTGTATGTATATGCGTATGTACATGTATATGTAAATGTGCATGCATATGTACATGTATATGTGTATGCGTCTATATACTAGAACCAAGCGCGCGCAGCGCGCGCGTGGTTCTAGTATATATATATATATATATATATATATACAAACATACACCCGGGCGCGAGGCCTGGGCCTCAAGCGCGCATGGAGGGACGGGGCCCTTCGAGACCGCCCCCAAAGCACCCCGGAGGGACCGTGGAGCCCCCAGACTGCCCCAGAGAGCTCCAAGACGCTCCCAGAAGCCCCCGGGGGATTTCGACAAGCCAACGCGGCCCAAAATGGGCTCCAGACCGCACATACACAGCCCAAGAGGCTTTCAAGAAGCCTCAAGAGAGCTCCGAGAGGCGTCCCGTCAGAGCTCGAAGAGGCCAAGATCTTTGATCTCCACTGGCTTTCTCCATGTTCTTCGGTGCCTCGCGTTTTCAACGCTCCGACGCTCCACGATGGCCGAAGACGCCCGCAAGACCGCCGAAGAGGCGCCCCAAAGAGCCCCAAGACGGCCCCAGGGAGCCCGAAAGTTGCCCAGGAGGAGCCCCCGACGGCCCAACAGAGCCCCAGGACAGGCCCAAGCAGGGCCGCAGAGCGGGAGTGGGGGGCCCCAAGGCGCTCCAAGACGGCACCGATGGCCCCGACGTGGCCCCAGATGGGCTCAACGCGGCCAATCTGGGTAGTCGAAGGCCAGACTGTCAGATTGGATTGGGCCCCAAGGGCCAATCTGGCCCGGCCAAACTGGATGATTTGGGTTATTCGCCAGACTGGATTCGCGTTGGCTCCCTCGCCAGATTGCCCCCGTTTGCCAGATTGGGCCTGCCAGATTGGCGCCAGATTGGCTTCGACTACCCAGCCAGATGGGCTCAACGCGGCCAATGCACAGCCCAGGAGGCCTCCAAGAGGCCCCAAAGAGAGCTCCGGGAGGGGCCCCGAGAGAGCCCGAAGAGGCCCATATCCATGATTTTTCCGGTGGTTGTTCCATGTTTTTCGCTTTGTCGCGTTCTCCAGATTCCAACACTCTTGGACGGCCGAAGACGCCCCGAAGAACGCCCAAAGACCGCCGAAGAGGCCCCCAAAAGAGCCCCAAGACGGCCCCGGAGAGCCTGAAGACTGCCCAAGAGCAGCCCAAGATTGCCCAAGAGAATCCCAGGAGAGGCACAAGATGGGCCCCGGAGCGGAAGTGGGAGGCCCCAAGGCGCTCCAGGACGGCCCAGATGATCCCAACGTGGCCAAGAGGCCTCCAAGAGGCCTCCAAGAGGCCCTAAGAGAGCTCCGAGAGACGTCCCGAGAGAGCCCAAAGAGGCCCAAATCATTGATTTGCATTTGTTTGTTCGATGTTTTTCGCTTTCTCTCGTTCTCGAGCTTACAATGTTCGAAGACGGCCGAAGACGCCCCCAAGACCGCCCCAAAACCGCCGAAGAGGCGCCCAAAAGAGCCCCAAGACGGCCCCAGGGAGCCCGAAAATTGCCCAGGAGGAGCCCCAGACGGCCCAAGAGAGCCCCAGGACACGCCCAAGCTGGGCCGCAGAGCGGGAGCGGGAGGCCCCAAGGCGCTCTAAGACGGCCCAGATGGCCCGGGCATCCTCCCTCCGTCCCGCCTTCCCTCCCCCCCCCCCCTCCCCTTGCCTCCATTCCGTCCTCTCTCCTCTTCCTCCCCTCACCCCTCAGCTTTTGTGCTCCTCCCTCCTCTCCTGGGACGGCCCCGCCAAGGCTCCAGACAGGCCCCGCCAGAGCGAGCGGGGCATCGCTATACCCTATACTTTCACCAGGTATTTTGCCCCTCCCACCCCTCAAGGGCGGCCCCAGCAGAGCGAAAGGGGTGTTGCTATACCGTATACAATCCCTGTTCTGCTTTGCTCCTCCCACCGCACCCGAGGTAGCCCCTCAGAGCGCGCGGGGCGTGCCCATACCATAACTTTCCTCGGGCTTCGTGCTCCTCTCCCCCCTCCTGGGCAAGCCCCGCCAGAGCGCCAGGGAAACTCCGCCAAAGAGAGCAGGCCATCTCTACACCATACCCTTTCTCACGCGATTCCTGCTCCTCCCAGCCTTGCAAGGCGGACCCGCCCGAGCGAGCGGGGTGTGGCTATACCGTACAATAACCCAGGATTCGTGCCCCTCCCTCACCTCCTGAGAAGCTTCGACGGAGCGCCAAGAAGGTGCCGCCAACGGCTCCGTCAGAGCTCCAGGCAGCCCCGTGAGCCCAAACCTTTCGATCCCACGGGTGATATCATCGCCATCATGAGGTTTGGCGTCCAGCACGCAGAAGGTTCCCCACTCCCGTGAACGGATTCGCCAACAGCTGATTGCAGAAAAGGGCGGCGATGACCAGGACATTTGTGCGCGCCTTCTGCAGATGCCCGGCAGCTGCACGACCGCTGAAAACGAGAAGCCTGGAACACAAGGAAGAGGAATCACAATAACGCGCTCCCACGCGCGCGCAACGAGGCCCCGAGCCAGCCCCAACATCAGGAGCAGGCGGATGTCAGCGTGCTCGGGCATGGGAAGACTGAGCAACTTTGCAAAACCATTCAGTGTCACGACGGGGCAGAGCGGAAGTGACAGTGGAGAAACAACGCATTTCGATGTATGAATTAAAGGCGGCAGCGACATTGTGAGATGCGCAGGAACGTGGCGCTCCGCGTTCTGACTACGCGTTTCTTTGCGTCGGTGGCATGGGCCCGAGAACGCTGGAAATTGCCGTTGTGGCCACAGCGGGGTTTCCAGCGTCTTCCGTGGCCCATTGGCGATTAGATCCTACGCCTGCGCGTAGCGCGCGGGCGTGGTACATGAAGTTAATGTGGATATCGGCTCTGGCTTCGTTTCTTGCCGAAGGTCGCTCACAGCACCACGCCGACTGAGCCCCGCACGAGCCCTCGCCTGAGCTGCCGCTGTGCCACCAGCTTTTTCTTTTTTTGTTTGGAGGTGGATAGACCTCCTACCCTGACACGTCGATTAAGGAATTGGCCGTTTCCGTATCGCGAGAGGGCGTCGCGGCCGTTATTTTTGCGGGTCCAGGTCCGTCGGTTTCGGTCCCAGGCCGTTTTCACTAAGGGGAGGTTTACTGAAGGGAGGTTTGTCCACCGCCGATTTTTGGGCGGCAGAGCACTGTCGGGACAGTCCCTGCGCCGCCGCCGCTGCCGTGCGCGGCCCGCCTCCGACGCGGCGCCGGGGGCTAGCCGGGCAGGCTCCGCATGTCCGCCGCCGCCGTGCCCTCGCTGCTTCGGCGGCAGCGCCAGGGCAGACAAATCCCCCTCCCCAGACCTCCTCGCGTCGTGATTTGATTCGCGACGGAATTTTTTGGCGGACGGGTTTTGCTTTTGGGGGTTCTTACCAGGCCTTTTCGAAGACCGATTTCTGACCACATCCACCTCTGGATCCTCGATTCTATGATAGGCCCTCGGGGGTGGAAGTGTGTAGTTTTTCCTTCCCCTGGGGCGGGGAAACTGCCCACCTCCACCTCTTGAAACCGCTTTTCGCAAGGCACTTCGGGAAGTGGGTGTGGTCAGAAATCGGTCTCCTACCCTTGGACCGTCAGAAAACTGCTCGGGATGAAGCACCAGTCCTGGGGGTCTACACCTTTTGGGGGGCCACGGCGTGAACACAGTCGCGACGGCGGCTGGCTGGGTCGTCTCGGCCGCACCCTTGGCGCCCTTCAGGGTCCGTTTTGATCAGGTCGATCCGATTCGATATCGATTCCGGAAGGTCCTATTCTGTTCGATTCCGACATCCCGACCATGCGATGCCGCATCAAGTCGGAAGTCCACATCAAGTCGGAAGTCCGCATCAATTGATGGAGGGGGTGGTCAACATGAAGGATGATAATGTATCATGGGTGAACAACGATGCCAATGTCATTACGGATAGCGAGGCGGAGTTAGTGAAGCAGGAGGTCTTGGACGGGGTGAAGGAGTGGATAGATACGAGGAATGTCAGCAAGTACAGCGCACCAAGGGATGCGGGTACCCAGTCAAGCAATGTAGGTACACACGCAGGCTTCTGTAAGGATATTTCCTCACGGCCTCGTGCTGAACCCAGGCAGGGGGGTAGGTGAAGGGTTAGGCAAATATGCACCTGTATCCGGTGATGGATCCATCACGATCCAGACAGGCAGTCCCAGCCCCAGCGACATCACGAAGTTGTGGATTTTTTTCAGAATGGCTGGCAGGTGTTTTCGCGAGCTGGGCTTTCGACGTTGGGACGCCATCGTCTTCATTCAGACTTGGCGGGATGAGGAAATTCAGATGTTCACGACTTTTGGAGGACACGCGAGGTTTGGGAGCAGCAGCAGCAAAGGACGTAACGCAGTGGGCATCCTGTTGCACAAACAATGGTATCATACATCCCTCTGGGCTATTTCTGATAGGCTCGCAGCCGTGGGGCTTGAGAGTGCAGGAAGCGGCCTGGGACTACAGTTGTTGTGTAATTCCTCTCGCTTCGCGGGGTGCACGTCCGGAGCACGTACAGTCCAGTCGTTTCGGAGTGTCCTAGGAGCTCTTGGGGGTCTTGTGGAGGCTTCCTGCGGGCATCTTGGGGCTTGTTTGGAGCCTCTTCGGGGCTTTCTGGAGGTTTCTTGGGCTGTCTTGGGGCGCTCTTTCGCCGTTTGGCTTCTTCGGAGGTGGTCTTGGAGCTTCTCGGGGCTGCTCAGAGCTCTCTTGGGGTCGTCTTGGGCCGTGTTGAGTTCCTCTGGGACCGGCTTTGGAGCCTCATTTGGCAATTGAGAGGCTCGTGGGCCGTCTTGGGGTTTGTTCGACCGTACCAAGGCCATCTTGGAGGCTTCTTGGGCCTTTACGAGCCCCCGAGAGCTAAAAAATGTGAGAACGCGAAGACGTATCAAGTACCGATGGGAAATCTAGGTGTTTCGCTTCAGCAGGCGCTCGTGGGAGTCCCCAGGAGGCTCTCTGGGGCGATTTCGAGCTCAAGAGCTTTTTGGATGTTGCAGGCCTCTCGGGTGCCTCTGGGAGGCAGTTTCGCGGCGTCTTGGGGTCTGTTTTGGGGCTTCTTCGGGTCCTCTTCGGGTCTTTTGTGGGCCTCTCGGGAGCCTCTTGGCGCGTCCTGGGGGCCTCTTTGGGCCGTCTTGGGGCCTCTTGGGGCGGAAGGCTAGATTTTTCAGTTCCTGTTCCCCCTCTTGGGCCTCACTTGGGCCCGCCTTGGGAAGCTTTCGGGGCGTCTTGGGCGACTCTTGGGCCATCTTGGAGCCCTCTTGGGCCGTCTTGGGGGCCTCTTGGGCAGTCTTTGAGCGGTCTTCGGGCCCTCCTGGGCGGCCTTGGAGCGTCGGAAAGCCGTAAGGGCGAACACCCCCAAAACCTTGAAACAAAAACATGAAAACCAATGATTTTGGCTTCTTGGGGGGCCTGTTGGAGGCCTCTTGGGGCGATTGGGCGGCCTGTAGGGCCGTCTTGGGGCCATCTTGGGCCTCTTCTGGCGATCTCCTCTTGGACGGTTTGGCCTGTTTGGGGGCCCTGTGCCCCCCCGTGGCGCGTTCGGTCCGGGGTCGTCCCGGGCTGGAGGGAAATTCTTGGTTTGGGGTCCTTTGGGGGGATTATGCATGGGAGGGAATAGTCTCACACGCCTAGAGACCCACAAAGGGGTCGGCGGACTCACGGCGCAATGTCGGATGAGTATGTCGAAATAGCCTACTCCAGTTTGGGAAACCACTCACGACGGAACAGGTCGAATGTGCGGCGATATCTGCTGGCCGGCGATGTCATTGCAGAGGTTGGTCTTCGCATGGATGATGGTGTTGACAAGGTCATTGGTCCAAATCCGTTCCGAGTTCGGAGTGGAATAGGCGATTTCTTGTTGTCTTGGTGGATTTTAGACACGCTGACTCTGACACATATTTTCGCGAGCGCAATGTAGGACTATTTGTGAACGTGCCCGGGGATCTACGTAAGCAGCTTGATTCTATTTTGTTGGAGCAGAGGTCTCTTATAAAGACATTTATTTCTGTGGTGCAGCACCTTTGTTGGACACGGGGTCCGATCAGATGAAGGCGCCGAAAGAGGCAGCCGGATTCGGGATGCACAAAGCACGCCGACCGAAATGGGGCTGTAATGTAGACGGGCGGCTGTATTCACGGACATTGGATTATGTTTATGATGCGTTTCTTGCCGGCGATCCAGACACCAATACTAAGGCCATTCTTTCGTTCAAGAGGACCATGACGGACGCTTGATTCGTCGAGCGCCATGCCGAAAACACATACAGTACAAACGAAGTCTGTCAACAGTGGGGACATTGGTAAGTTTTCGCAGGAGCGTCGGGGCCTCGGGCGGCGACTTGATCTCATTTCGGATGCAACGAGAAAAACATGTTATTCGTTTACGCAACTGCATCAATATAGTGGTCCATAATCATATTGCGGAACAAGGGCGCGCAATACATCATCCCGAATGTGAGGCGTTCGAAGCGAAAGGCACAACGCCAGCATGATAAACGACGGGTTTCGAAGCGGAATGCATAGGACGCGATAGCCGAGACGTCCGCCAAGTTCTACGGGAAATTCTACACAACGAAGGCCCCTGAATACATTTAGAGTCCGGGCGATTCACCGGCCGTGGCCGTATTCATGTCTCAAGAATTTAGCCGCGCGCTGAAGGACATGTCGCGCCGATGCTGGGATTGCATCGGCGATGCTCAATTGCAGCGGGGAACGTTCTGGCGATCTCGTCGAAGGCAGAAACGGCACCACCATCTCGTTGGAGAAACAATTTTCTGATGGATTGTTTCAAGAATTGCGATCCGCTGCCACTTGGACTTGTACCGCTTCTATTGGGCTGGCCTCCGGCCAGTGCCGCCGATCCGGGGGCGGGGGTGAGATTTGAGGACGTCTTGGAGGTTTATGGAATTTTCTTCGGGGCATCTTGGGCGGTTCGAGCGATGTTTCGGCGATTCGGGGCCCTCTTGCATTGACTAGGGGGCCTCTGGGGCCTCTCTTGGCTTCCTCTTGGGCTGTCTTGGGCGGTCGGGGCTCCACAAGTGGAGTTTTCTATACCCCCCTGTCCCTGGGTACCGAAAAACGTCGGAAATGACGTCGGATCCCCGTGTACCGAAAAACGTCGGACATGACGTCGGCAATGACGTGCCCCCCCCCTTCCAGAGCGAAGCTTGAGCGAGCTCAAGTCCACGCCCTCAGAAACTCACACGCCGGATCGGCGGATTTCAATTATGTGCCAAGAAGGTGCGCGCCCTGCTGCACCAAGGCATTGTTTCAGCACGGTCACCAGAACAACCAGCTTACAGGCAAGGGTAGTCCATGTCCGACCACGTGCTTGCCGCCACGTCGATTGCGAAGGGCTGCGCAACATGGAAACAAGATTTGTTGTTTGGGCTTGTGCGCTTCGAGAAAGAAGCTGGTTGTTGTTGTCGTTGTTGATACCAGGGGGCATTTGTGTATTGCCCCATTGAAACGAGTGGAGGGCAGCCGAAGAGCGACAAGCACGGCAGGCGCAGCATCGATAGAATTCAGCTTGTTCTGGAAATGTAAAACAAGTTGATCCGGTAAGTGCACGTTTCTTCGTCCCTGTCATGGAAGTAAGTTCCTGTAGCTGCGGGACACGAGTGCGCGGATTTGGAGCGATGCTACGGAGTGGCCGTCGGCTGGCCGGAGGGTCCAGTAATTTCCGTTTCGCTGAGGTCGTGCTCTGGATTGCGCAGAGAGGGGGTTTTTACAAACATACCCGCTGGCCTTCAACCAGAAATTGTTCAATATGGGTTTACTGGGCGCATGGAGAAGACGATCATATTGTGCCAGCCAACGTTCCCATGAACGTGGAGGCGACCGGGACCCAGGTGAACGTGGCCCAGGGAATGAGCAGCGAGATGCATTCGTGGAGACAGTTGTGCATGAGCCAATACCACGAAGCAGAACTGTCAAACCGACTGTCGTCGGCATTGAGGTTGTTCGCGAAGATGGAACGCGTCATGTGTTCTCGGTCGTGCCAACTACGGTCGCGATTCGGACTATTTGCTATGGTTGTCATGCCCATCGCCCTCTGCCGAAACGAATGTTTGTCATTAGGGGCGATCGGCAGCTTGGCTAAATATGGCCAACCAAACATTCCATGTTAGCCAAGGCGAGGCAGAGTCTCAGGCCGAGAACGTCAAGAAAACAAAGGCTGGAGTGGAGTCTGCGTGCGCAGGTTCAGGGTTCAATCTACGGACCGTCGCGTGGAAATTGTGAACGGGGGGTGTGGAGAAATAGGGGCACAGACTCTAGACATGGAAGTTTTGGTCCCGTTGCAATGCAGGCCAATGCCCAAGCAGGCTTCGTACAAGATGGTGTGGCTCAATGAAGCACGTTTTCGGATGACGTGATATCGTACGTGTTTATGTTTCGATTTTCTTTGCGTCTATTGTTTTTGTTGACCAGGTGAAAAGGGTCGACGCCAAAGCTCCCCCCACCATGCTTCACCATTCACACCGCCTGCCATTTTGTGGCACCGTTTCGCTGGGTTTGGCATACAGGCTGTACGTATAACAGCAGCTGTACTTCCCATCCGATGTGGCCCAATACTTGTATTGGCGTTGTTGCGCATCCAGGCGCAGTCGATCGGATTCGACTCCGAACCGATGCGGCCCGATCCAACGCAGATTCCGCTCCGATTCCGAGTTCCCGAGTCGACGTTGCTGGATGTCCCCCCCTTTTCCCCTCTTTTTTCGGCGGCAGGCGGCATGGTCGGGTCGAGTCTGACAAGCCGCTCATCTCTTCGCAGTCGCCATGCTACCGGCCTCATTAGCGGCCAGCGGCAGCGCGGGACACACGGGTTCCGCGCTTCCGCCGCCGCCGTGCCACCAGCCTTGCATCAGCCAGGCCCCGACGGGGAAAGGGGAGGCGGGTCGTCCCCAGACCTGTCCTGTGCATCCAGCCGTGGCCACGCGGGCGCCCGAGGATCCCCAAACACACTCAAACATGTCCAATCACCTCGATCCTCGTCTTCTTCCTCCGCCGCCTCCGCCCTTGACGCGGCCCACCCACCACGCCTCCGCACCTCCCTCCCCCCCCTTCCCCCTTGGCCCTTCATCCTCTGGCGATTCATCCTCTTACGCACCCTTCGCCTCCTCCTCCCCCCCTCCTCCTCGGTCCATTTCCTCCTCCGCCCTCCTCCTTTCCCTCTTCCTTTCTCGTCCCTTGTGCTCTGTACCTGCTCCCCCACGTCATTCTAGGTCACCCGACCCCGCTCGGTCTTCCGGGCCCGTCGAGTGTGCACGAACGGGCCGAGATCGAGCGACAGGTCGCGTCTCCCTGCGAGGCAGGCGATGGCCCCATGACTCCCTCGCCGAGCGCGTTCCACTATTCGCAAAGTGCTTACTCGCAAACGTCCGAAGACACACATGTCTGCTTTCTATGTAATTTATCTAGATCCCCCGCGGCGGATCCAGGCCATTTGCGAGTAGTTACTTTGCGAGTAGTGGAACGCGCTCGTCTACTCCCATGGAGGCCGAACGGGTTCCAGGCTTTCTGCCTTCCCAGCGTAAGAGCTCGCGTCCTTGCCTGGCATCGGCGAAGGGGATCTCACCAGGGTGAGATCCCTCGGGAGTGCACTGCCCAGGAGGGTTCGAGCGGCGATTCGCAGCCCTCCGCGGATACGCGGTCCCACGGATACGTTCCGCGCGGGGCATCCGCGAAACAACGCCCCGTATCAGCGGGATCCCGCCCGGCCGCGGATACGGATATGTGTTTTCCGCCCACGAGCCCTTGCATGCAGGCCACCAAAGGGCTTGCCGGGGACTTCCCCACGGCGAAGGTGGCGGACAGCGCGGAGCGCCCCCCCGAACGCCTTGCGCCGAGGAGGGGCGAGGGGCGAGGACCGGGGCGGATAGAGGAGGGGCATGTAGGAGGACAGAGATGGGAGGATTGATGATGATGATGAGGAGGAGGAGGAGGAGGAGGAGGCGGAGGAGGAGGAGGAGGAGGAGGATGGGGAGGAGGAGGAGGAGGAGGAGGAGGAGGAGGAGGAGGATGAGGAGGAGGAGGTGGTGGTGGTGGTTTGGGCTCTTGGTCTGTCTACTGGGCTGGACGAGCTGCACTGTGACTGACGTGCGCTATGGCGAGCACGGTTCCTCTGCCGCCTCTCCTTCCTCCCTCCATCCTTTCCTCCTCATCACCATCACCATCACATCATCATCATCACATCATCATCATCATCATCATCATCATCATCATCATCATCATCATCATCATCATCATCATCATCATCATCATCATCATCATCATCATCATCATCATCATCATCATCATCATCATCATCATCATCATCATCATCATCATCATCATTATCATTATCATTATCATTATCATCATCAATCCTCCCCTTCCGTCCTCCTCCTCCTCCCCCCATTCCCCCCTCCCTCCTCCCCCCCCTCCGCCTGGTCCTTTCTCTTCCTCCTTCTCTCTCCTCCCTCTGTCCCTGCCTTCGTGCCATCCCTCCCCCGCGCGGGCGCTCCCGCTCCCGCGCGAGGGGGGCGGAATGGGGGGGAGAAGGGCACGAGGAGACATCTCGAGGCGGGAGTGGGAGGACGTGATTGAGGAGGGATGGAGGGAAGGGAAGGAGGGCTCAGGCACACTGGTGGGGAGCTGCCCAGGCCGTGGTGGGGCCGTGGGGTCCCCGGGAGCGGGGGGGGGGACCTGCGGACCTGCGGCCGTCCAGTTTGCAGCCTCCGCGGCTCTGTAAAGCGGGCCGCTGGCAGGCCTCAAGAGAGAGAGGCTGGCCCCGGCGGCCCCAGTCCCGGCCCTGGCCCCGGCCCCGACCACGGCCTCGGCCTCGGCTCTGGCGCCGGGTTCAAATCTTGCCCCAGGCCCGGCCCCGGCCGGCGGACTCAGGTTCGTCACCTTGGTCAGCTGCTCGCCGCGGGGCCCTTTCAGAGGCCCGCCTGACGGCTCTGTTCGGCTCTGTTTCGGCCCTGGTTCGACTCGAGTTGTTCGGCTCGAAATCGGCTCGAAACGACTGACCTTCGACGCAGCGTCGACTGACGAGCGGAGCGAGTGTCCCCAGAGCGAGCACCTGGCCTGGGCGCAGGTGCGAGCCGCGACGCCGCGGCGGAAACGGCCGGCGGCCCGAGGGCGCCTCTTTCTTCAAGCCCAGGCTTAAGTCGGGCCTGTCCTCCTACAGGGGGATTTTGGACGAAACATATAAACAACTCAAAACATACACCCAAATGTTCAAAACATTTTCAAAAATCGTCCCCATACTATGTTTTACTATTTTTGAATATGCCTCCTGTAGAGTGACGTGCTCGACTGAAGCCCAGGCAAGCGAGGAACAAACACAAAACAACAAAAACTTCAGGCCCAGGCAATTTCACATGCATGGCATCTCCCCTTGAAGGCCTTGGACTCGGAGGAGGAAGAGGTGACGATACTACTGCTCACCATGGAGAGCTCTCGTCACCACGGCTGGATTATCCTGGAAATTCTGGTCAGAGCGCACACCGCGGGTAGTATCGGTACCTTGGTGCGTGTTAGGTCATATATCGAGTATGGCAAGTTTATTTTCATGGCATTCTCCCCCCCACCCATCCGCCACCTTTTCAAACAGCCAGCGCTGGGCCGCAAAAGCTTATGAGTGAGTCCCGACTTGCGTAGTGTCCAGATTTCCGTTCGCCCCCCCCCCCCCCCCTCTTTTCCTTTCGTTCAAGTAAGCTTGCTGGAGTCTACAGAACAACGTGTCTAAAGCTGAAGGCCGCCGCAGTCGTGGGCGTGGGATCGCAACAGTTGTCGTTGGTATTGCATGAGCGTGTATCACCCTCGTTGTGTTTGTGCGGTTGCACATGTGCAGCTTTGATTGTTTCTCTCTTCTTTTTGTTTTCCTGTCCGGTGCCCCCTCTGCATCGACACTACGCCGAGCCCCTTGCAGCGGTGCTCTGGTGTGACTTCGCTTCATTGCCGTACCTCCCCTGCCACATGTCGGGCGGTGGCGACGCGCCCCGGCCTGCCTCACATGTTATCCATGTTGCGTTGTGATTTGTTTGCGGAGTTGTTCGAAGACGTCTGGTTGAGACTTTGAGGATTCATCACGTCGGGTTGGCGTTCTGAGAGATCATGTATTATTTGCTGGCAGAAAAGCGAAGCGCACGGGGGACGGCCAGCCCGTGTTCGAAAATGGGCTGCAGTCATCAGGGCAGCGGAAAACGCGTCGATCCAACAGATGGACCAGCTCATGCGCTTGGGCCCAAGCATTGACTTGAGTGGTTCGGACGATTGCGGCACGTAGCGATGGGCCCACTTCCGAGCGGCTTTGCTCGCGCGTCCTCTCCGGGCGCACGTCTTGCCAAGCAGGATCAGGCCTACGGCATTGCGAAGACCAACACGCTATTGTTCTTCACAGGCGTGTTCCTCTTGCTGGAAGCTGCGTGCTTTGAAAAGGTAGTGTTAAAGCACGGAGGTCAGCGAATTGGGGCTGGTCGATCTGATCTGGCTTGTCCGAGTCGTGCACATCGTTGTCGTTCTGAGTGGTACGGGGGGAGATGAGTTTGCCTACGCCACAGGGAGGGAACACATAGCACTAGTGTGTTGAGACCCTCTCCACTGTGTTGTCCTTGCCGCCTTTTTGGCGGTAGCTGCGCCAACGTCTCATCGCGACCACGCGACGCCATTATGCGATTGCATTCCGGCCGCCAACCTTAGTGACCAGCGAGCATCGCAGAGCCAGGCAAGTCGTCATCGACTGGTAAGGACTCCGTTTTCGGCGTGGACCAGCGCCTCCGCTCGAAAGCGCATGCATAGGAATAACGGATGGGAGGGGGAGGGAATGTGAGTTGGGTTCAGAGAGGACGAGAGGACAGTATAACGTATGAGAGCGGTCTGGGGGGGATCGTGAGCCCGCCCAGCGTTTGCCGTCCAAGAGAGATTGTGCAGCCTTCCCGTACTCTTGATGTCGTTTCCCCCCCTTCCCCAGAAGGGGTCCCAGAAATAATGGCCCCTTCCTTGGAAGCTGACTTCTCATCCCGAGTAGGGTCTCGGTCGACCCTGAGTCCAGCGGGGGCAAGTCCAGCTGGAGCCAAGGGGCTCAGTCTGATGGGCCTCAAACTGGATTCGGCTTCCTCTTGGGAGACGCCGAGTCCAGTTGAAGTAAGTCCAGCTGGAGCCAAGGCGCTCCATCTGCTGGGACTCCAACTGGACGTCGCCTCTCCCAAGGCTTCGGCTGCAGGGCCCGAAACGGACCTCCCTGGGCCAAAAGCTGGGGAGCTTGAGCGCTGGCACTGGACACACGGCCCAATACGTCGGAGGGTTGAGCTCCCACCTAGTTTCGAGGCAAGGTCTCTCTCAAGCAGTGGCGAGGCGTCCCCGACCAGCCTTTTCGGATGACCAGAGAAGAGACTGTTCTATGAACAACATGTCCTAAGAGCATCTATGGTCGAGCCCGTCTCGTTCCACTACATCGGGCGTACGTTCTGAGAACACGAGTGTCGATCGTGGAACGTTCTTGCGTTCTCAGTACATCTTGTGCTAGGCCTGTGGGGATGCCGGCACGGTCGGTCCCTGCTCAAGACTCTCGCTCCACCGCGACCTCGTCGATTCTGCCTCGCTCGCTCGACCTCTCTCGCCCGACCTCGACCTCGCTCGGCCTCGACTTCGCTCGACCTCCCTCGCATCGACTCCTCGCCTCGACCTCTCTGGGCCTCGACCTGGACCTCGCTCGACCTCGACCTCGATCCCAGGGCTGGACCTAAGCAGGGTTTGGGCGATGTCGTGGGCCGTTTTCGTCCCGACTTCGTTCTGCGGCAGAGGTGGATCGAAGACAAAGCCAGGCAAAACGGAAAACAACACGAAAACGAACAACACCGTTTAGGTTCAGCCCTGCTCGATCCCTCGACCTCGACCTCGTCGGATCCGCCGGGGGCAGCCCCTGAGGGGGCACGTGGCGCGCCGTCGCCGAGCGGCCTGCGGCCCGTGCTTCGGGGCGCCCGATGCTCTGCGATGAGCTTGGCATCGCTCGGACGTGTGCATGTTCTTTCTCGGCGGGGACCTGCGAAGAGCATCCTCGACCATCGAGCAAAAAGAGCACACACGAAACCGACACATGCACGGGGAACGGACGTCCGAGCGACGGCAAGATGAGGTGTGTGTGTGGGGGGGGGGCTCGGGGGGGGGTATCGAGCTGGCATCGGCGACGCCACGTTCACCATCGGGGTGGATGGCAGGAGAGGGAGGAGGAGGAGGAGGAGGAGGAGGAGGAGGAGGAGGAGGTAAGGTAAGGTAAGGTAAGGTAAGGTAAGGTAAGGCGCTTCGGACGGCTTCCTTCCTGCTCTAGCTCGAGCGCCAGACGCGCTCGGGCTATACTTTGCATAGCCATCAGCGTGAGATATGGAGCGGGGGGCCTCTGCTCCTGATGAGGCCTGCCCATGCGACCTCCGCCCGAGTACCTCGGGGGGGGGTGGCAAGACGGCGGCGGGGCTCCTGCCCGCCTCTAGTCGACCGATCTGCGCCGCACTCCCTGCCTGATCCCGATGGGGGGCGCTCTGGCCCTCCAAGAGAATCGGGACGGTCGTGCTTTGCATATCCGTCCATTACTCTCGCGGAGGCGGCTGCTGCTGGCCCCGTTGGCGAACAGCTGCCGCGAGGGGCACTGGTCAGGCTCTCTCGTGCGAGCGAGGGGGGAGGGGAGGCGAGGGACGACTCACGAGGAGGAAAGCAGAGGGGACGAAGCGGACAGAAGCGATGACCTCTCGTGCTGCCAGCTCTGAATGCAGGCCCAGCCAGCGTTAAAACTGTTAAAGCAGTTTTCCGTCTGATCGACCCAGAAGCAGCGGGCATCGAGGAAAAAACCGGTCTTAAGTAACATTTTTTCGGCGCGCGCCTGGAGGGCGGAACTAGACAGACAGGGCGGCCGCGAGCTAGCTACTCATCTGAGGCCCAGCTCTTCGACGTAGTTGATCTCGTCGGGCCACGGGCCGACGAGCGATTCGTCCTCTGTCTGGATCTGGTTGAGGCCGTACCTCAGGCTCATCACTGCATTCGCGAGGATCAGTCGCTGGCTCGTCAGCTTCCTGATGACTTCCTGGCGCTCTAGCATCTCCTCCTGTTCCATGACCACTGGAGCCGATAGCCTCTCGAGCGACAGGTTTATGAGCGTCTGCTGCCTCCAAGGGGGAGGGTCGAGGACTGGGGGCAACGACAGGGGGAGACTGGCATCGCTCGGACGTGTATATCTTTTTTCTCGGCGAGGACCCTCGAGGAGCATGCTGGATTATCGAGCAAACAAAAACACGCACGATACCGAAAAAAGCACGGGAAATGGACGTCCGAGCAAAGGTAAGAGGGGGGGACTGGCTCGGTGGGGGAAGCATCGAGTCGACATCGGCGACACGTCGCCGGTGCATCGGCGAGAGGTTCGAGTTGGTTTGGTGTTTGGGCGATCTCGTCGCGCACGGTGTCCCCCCCCAGGGGGGCGGGCCGAGGACTGGGGGCAACGACAGGGGGGGACTGGTTCGGTGGGGGAAGCATCGAGCTGGCATCGGCGACACATCGCTGGTGGAACGTAAGACTCGAGTGCGCCGGAGCTCGGGTTTGCCGACGCCTTTTGACGAGCGCGTCCTGGGTCTTGACGTTCCAGTTTTCGTGGGGTGCTTGCCGCGGGGGCCCGCGTCGAATGTCAGCTCGAGTCTCGTCATTCTCTTGACGGCCTCGCCAGGCCAACCCGAGTCCCCCGTACCCGAGTCGTGCGTCTCCCCGAGCGTCGCAGGTGCACCGGCGAGAGCTTCGATTTGGTGTGGTGTTCGGGCGTTCTCGTCGGTTCCCCAGGCCTGCCCTGCCTCGCGGTGCCCTGCCTCGCGGCGGCGCCTCGCCCCGGGGCGTTCCGGGGGCGCCCGAAGCGTCCAGGGGCGGCCGCCGGAGGGCCGTGGCGCAGCCTCGGGGCACAGACAAGGACAGGGCAGGAATGCTTCGAGGTCAGCGTGGATTTCTCGGAGGTGGACAGACCTCCTACCCTGACACGTCGATTAAGGAATTGGCCGTTTTCGGTCCGCGAGAGGGCGTCGCGGCCGTCATTTTTGCGGGTCCAGGTCCGTCGGTTTCGGTCCCAGGCCGTTTTCATTAAGGGGAGGTTTACTCAAGGGAGGTTTGTCCACCGCCGAATTTCTTGGATCGGCGCTGGACCCCCCCTGGGCAGCGCCTCCTGCGCCGCCCCTGGCGCGCTCCGCGCGCCGGGGAGGGGGGCGTCGATCCGAGGAGTCCGCGCGGACTTCTGACAGTTCATGCAGATGTGCCAGTGTTTGCTCCTCCATCGGCGAGGGGCCCCCGACGGCAAGACCGCGCCTTCCCGGCCCCGATGGACGATGAATGGGCGATTGGGGGGTTGATGCATCCCGCCGCAGGGTCGTTGGCCTTCTTCGGGGGGGGGGGCGCTCGATCCTGCCGCCGAAGGGAGGGGGGGAGTGGCGCCACCACCACCAGGCCCCCATCCAGCGAGCAGCACAGTACTGCACGGGCCAAACTTGCTGGAGTCCTCGCAAATTTCTCGGGTCGGTGCTGGAGCCTTCCTAGCGGCGCCTCGGGCGCAGCAGCCACCTGGCGCGCGCTTCGCGCGCAATGGGAGGGGCCAAGAAATCCACGCGGACTTTGGAACGATCATGCGTATGTCGCTTTTTCTACTTCAGCAGGGGGGTCTACAATTCCTCCCTGAATTGGAGATTGAAGATCTATCGAAGATGTCTTGAGGGTGGCGCCGCAAAACAGGGGGACCGCAAACAAGAGAGCCTGCCTGGCCTTGCCCCCTGGCGGTGGTAGTGTCGTCCTTCACTGCCCCATGTTGGCGGCGCCAGTGGTACTTCGATCATGCCTCATGTCGATACTGACTGGTCGGGGCCACGTTCTTCGCTATGTCAGTGCCAGAGACCCCCGCACGTTTAGCTGGTGGGCAGTGCTAAACATGTCGGGCATTGCCAGTGCTGGGGAACCCCGCGCGTTGCTGAGCATGTCGGGCATTGCTTAGCAGCAATAGACCGAGGTCCAAACGGTGCGGGGATCACACCGTCTGGTGACTCAGTGGGTATTCGGAGTGACCCCACGGTTTTGGTACTCGGGTCGTTCTCAAAGGAAGTCTTGAGCGACTGCGGCCTCCAGGGTCCCAAAACCAAGCGGTGACGGACCGCCTGGTGAGTTCTCTTGGGATGTCGAGGTCACCGCACAGTTTGTCCCTGGGACCCTTAAGATTCGTCGCAGATGCGACGAGAGGAGGGAGGATGTGGATGGGGGATGTGTAGGGACAAGCCAGGCGCGCAAGCGTCTTATCCGGCGTCCTGCTCTTCCCTCCCATCCCTTCCCATTGCGAAGATCTCCTCTCTTTTCACGCAGTCGGATGTCGTACTGGTAGCATGGCATAGCATTGCATGACATAACATGAAGTTTAAGATCAATGTGTAGCATGACATGGCATGGCGTGGCACTACGTAGTCAAGCACTGCATATCATTGCATCGCGGCTGAAGGCATAGCATCGCACAGCGGAACACACGGTAGCATTGCATTGCATACCATGGCATGGCATTGGAAATAAGACCAGCGTGACAGCGGGAACACGACTCGGACGGAGGTGCGAATCGGAAGATGAGGAATGTGAGAGAGTCTCTAGGGTCTCAGGGCTTAGGGTCTCGTTGGAGGTCACTGGTAGCCCCCGCAGGTTTCACGAGGCCTCTGGAGGCCCTTGTGAACAGCGAGGGTCAGGAGGGTGTAATCCGAGACCCCGCTTCTTAGGATGA